AATACCAAACATATTTTTCCCCAGCATAGGATAATTTCAAGACAATTTAGGGCAAGTTTAATCACTCTCTTCACTTCAGCTGCTCCTTTATTTAGAAAATCCATGGAACAAGTCAGCATGTGATGAGGAGATCCTTCACGTGCAGGTGAAGGGATTYGAGGTCTGTGCACATTATGGCCACTTTATGAACATTTTTTGAGAGAAACTCACATAAAACAGGCCCAGGAATGCCCGACAGYTCCAAACCAGTTATTAAGAACTGTCTGCAGAAAGGTGATGAGCTGCTTTTGAAGTGAGGGGGCAAGTTCTCATAAAAAAGAACAGACCATCACAAGGGAAGTGCTGGATATCAAAGGATGTTTCATAATTCGTATAAAAACATCAACAATGCWCAGCAAAAGCCCAATGGTAAGCTGGGCTTTGGACCCAGCAGTGACAGCCTGGGGTAGTACAAGTGTGACACACAGAGCAGCATCAGAACTGTTTTTTTCACAATGACCTTCAGAACGTGCTGCAAACCTGCAGTCTGATGGCAATACCTTTGAAAAAAAAACCCCAAAAAAACCAAGAACCTTATTTTCTATAATCAATGATCATGTAAAGATCATTCCTCATGGAAAACTGAAAACAGAACGACTAAATTTCAAGCTCTAGATAGATAAATCACACCTAAAATGTGTTAATATCAAGCTGCAGCTCTCAAGAAACGTAGCCCAATGTGCAAACTTTACCTACAGAGCCTGGAAAAGGCACATTTCTAGAAAGAAGCTGCTGGGGATCTATGAACAGGCATCAGGAGGCACCTCCCAGGCTCCCAGGCACGGCCACAGCAGGGTCCAGCAGTGCTTAGATCCCAGCTACACCACTCACAGCCCCTAATTCTGACTGTGTCGGGGCACTGAGATGCCAGAACACCTACCTCATATCCAAAGAACTGCAGTGAAAACCAAAACTGCGAGGCAACAATCACCTCGGGTAATGGACTTCATTCCAGACAATCTATTCTAATCGTGTAAACCAAATATTTAAATACTTTCTAAAACCTTCCTGACCCTTTCTCTAAAACAAGCAACATATGGACTTTGCAAACATTTCATCTCATTCCAAGCTACTAAAATATCCTGTTTCCTAACAGTCAATGAGAACTGGGGGTGCCAGATCAGATTTTATAAAAGTCCAAACTCAGGAGAGAATGAAAAAGTGAGTGAGCGATTCTTTCCACATTCAGATGTCCCCATTTAAGTTTCCCAGCTGCAGGAAGGGAGGAGGGCAGTGCATTTTCTGTGCTCTGCACACAGTGGGTGCCTCCAGCAGCCTGTTCCCCACGGGATGGGATATTGCAGATATTGCAGATATTGCAGATATTGCAGATATTGCACCCCTCTGCTGAATGAGAGCACTCCCTGGCTGAACACACAGCCCCAAAGATGCTCTTGAGGACACGTGCTCTACTGCACACACCAACCCAAAATGTAAGGCCTAATGCAGAATGAAGCTCCTGCAGCTTTCTCTACATGGGGATTAATTGAGATCAGAGGACTTGAGTATCTAGGACAAAGCAGCTACCAAACAATAGAAAAAWCCCAACAAGTTTAATTTATCCTGCTGCTGGGAAGGCTGAGCTGGAGCCCATTAAATCCTGGCAGGCAGAGGCTGCATCAAAGAGCTGAGAGCATGAAGTGCTCATGGAGGGGCTGTCTCAGCTGAGCAGGGCTGGCTCTCGGGAGGCTGCAGCAGAGAGCACACAGCTTTCACATCCTTCAGAGCTGCTCTCCAGAGGCAGGAGTTTGCACATAATGAAGCAGTAGSGAAAAATTGCCAAACAGCAGAAATACTCCAAAAAGATAAATTACACGTGGTGTAAGCTTCCTTGGTTAGGATTTTAAATTCTGTCCAATTAATCAGTAGCACAAAGCCCAGGCTCACAGGCCAGATGCAAAGCCCCTCTCACAGATAAGCCCCCTGTGGGGATTTTGGGGGCTGCTGCCCAAATCCCACTGACCTGGGGTGCTGCAGGCACAGCCTGGCCCACGGGAACATCGACACCTCCCCTGCAAAACCTGTTAAACAAATATTCCACATAAAGACTCATTTGGGAAGAGCACATTGTCAGCACTTTGCGAGTAATAAATAATGACAGTCCAAACACTTTACTAAAAGCAATAAACTCAAGAAGTGTTTTGGAAAATGGTGAAAGTGATTGATTTAAAGAAGGAAATATCTGTGTGCAACCACATGCACTTCAGGGTGAAAGCACAGATTACAAATCAGCAGTGGCAGAGATCATATTAAACAGAAGACAACGCACAAGTTTTAGGGAAAAAAGTTCAGTTTCCCTGTAGGGCTTATTTAACAACCCAGAGCAGAGCTTCTCCAAATGGATACCTCCGGTTTGGACTGAACAACCCYGTGCTATGCCCCAAAGAAAACACGCCTCCAGGAATACTGCTACAGCAGGAACAGGGCTCTCTACAAAGAAAAATGACTCTAAGAAGACTGAAGCCTCTTCACTCAGAGCACTCCACAAATTCTTCRACGCATCCTCAGAATCAGCCAAATCCATCAGGCTCCTCTCTAATTACAGTTCACGTCTTTCCTTCTCGGCTGTTGCAACAGATTCTTGTGCCTGGAAACCAACCATATTGCTTAAACATTTTTTCCTCATCATTTTCTACCACTAAAACATACTGGACTGTGACCAATTTTTGCACGTCTTCAACCAGCTGAGCTGGATGCAAGCCACACGGTCAGTGCAGTTTCATAACAAATCCTTTATGGGAACCAGACTCTGGAGAAACACGTGASAGCCCCCCTTAGCCACCCAAACCATCATGTTCAGATCTGCACAGCCTCTATGCACCACGGACACTTCATCCTTACATTTGA